TCCCGGGGAGCCCTGAACTCCCCCGATACTTTCGGAGCATAAATTACAATTATTACCGAATAATACTGCTCTGATGAAGCGTCAGAGCCATGAGAGTGAGTCACAGCTCCGCAGGGAGGCATGGGGGGGCTGCCAGCACGCCTCTCCCGTCCCCCGCAATGGAAGGGACAGGGGACAATGAATCAGGTGCATATTTATAGCGCTGAACTGGAATTATTTGTGTTTTGCTTGGTGACCTTCATCTGGGCCCAGCAACCAAATGGGCTTAGTGGGCCTGTCCATCGAGTGCTATATTTGCTTCAGTAAAAGAAAGATAAAAGCAAAGATGAGCAGCAGAGCTGTGGCAGTAAACCCGGGGTCTGAGGCAAGCCTGGGAACTGGCGGTTTGTGCCTGGAACAGCCACCATGGCGTCGGCTGCTGCCGTCCGGCACGGCTCTGTGCCAGCAGGAGGGAAACCCAGCAAACCTGATCCTCAGCCACCCGTCACGAACGGGGCAGCTCCGGCGCCGGGGATGGGGCTCAGGCGCTGCGCTGGTTATCGGTGAGCGCAGAAAGGAAAGGACAGAAAATGCGGGTCCGGTTGAAAATACAGCACAGCGCCTTGAGAGGTCGGGGGCTTCAGCTGGGCCGGATCCAAGCTGCTCTGCAAGAGACGTGGCCCAAAGATGCAAGTTGTCTCATCTGGCTCCGAATCTGAGGGGCCCCCCACCCTCCTCACCTTAGACCTCTGTAACAGCCACCAAACTAAACTCTCCCACTGACTCCTGCAGCCCTCAGATGACACCTCCATCCCATTCTCATCTGGAAACTCACCATCCTCATTAGCTGCTGCCATTTGTTCAGGGATGTTCATCTGCTGCTAATTAAAGCACCTGAGCTGGACCCACAAATCACCCCGCAGCAGGATGCCCTGAAGGCGATGCCAGGCATCGAGCAGGGTTTGCAGCAGAGCAGCTGAAAGTGGCTCAGTGCTCACCCGCAGTCACAGCGGGCACCAGGGTGTTATTTTCCTGCGGGGTGAGTGCAAATTTCAGACTTGCTGCTGCTGTCTGTAAGATAATGATGATGTCGATGCCCTTTTCTGCCCCCAGAAATACGCTGGCTATGATCACACTAAGTTTTCAGACAAAAATCCCTTGCAAAATACAGCTTTGGGCTGACCAAAAACATTTGACGAGTTTTCAGCGATTTCATTTTGACGGTTAACAAATGAGGCAATACTGGTTTGTATTTAAAACCACCTTTTGTTCGGTTGCATTGCTTTTTAGTTTAAGATTGCTCAAAAGCTGATTGAAACCTCATGGTGTGTGTCACATGAAACACATGTGAATCTAAACACTGTGTGATCAACTTTCCAATTCACTTAAGATTTTCAAAAATCACTTCTCATTTGTTGCAAAAAAAAATTAATTTCCAATTCTCAAAGCTGTATTTGCATGAATGAGAGAGCTGCTTGTACAGCTTTAATTCTATCGGCAATGGCTTTATAACTAATTAATTAGCCTCACAAGTACTTCCAAACTTGGCTTTTATTCCTTCCAGATTCATTGTATGTGAGCTTGTCTCTCGCCGTCACAGAAAAAGCAGCTATAGCTGAAACTGATACCAGCGGCTTGGTATTTGTCCAGCATCGATTTCTTAACACCGTAAACTTCACTAACCCTAAATTTCACGTGCCTTACATTCAGCGAAGACTGGAGGAAGAACATCTTTCGAAGGCTAAGGCTAGTCCTGCTCCCCCACCGTGGGAAAATAAATTGCTGAAACCTTTCTGGCACGAAACGACTTTCCCTTGCGCTGCTCTGCCCGGGCTGGGGGATCGCCCAAAGCACGCCAGCCCTGCCCGCTCCCTGCCTCCCCGCTTGCTCCGCCGAGACTCCGGCCTCTCTGGCCAGACATACACTAAGATATTTAAGCAATATAAGAAGTTCAGTATTTTAGAAACGTCATCTCTCTATCTGGAGGCTGTCGGGATCTGAAAAGTCCCCATGCCCGAGGAGCAGCACTGGGCTGGGGGAGCAGGTCAGGGCTCACGCCAGCTCTGGCCAGGACGCGAGGACCGGCCTGCAGAGCTTGAAGGAAACAAAAGCATTCTGGTTTTCTTCGACTGTTTCTGCAGATCGCAGTAACAAAAGTGAAATTAAACACATTTCTTGATTGATTTTCTTCCTTTTTCCAAAAGCTTTTTTTTTCTTGCAGACATTGAAGACGGCCATTTTGGAGTGGCGTCTCTCGTCTTTCTGCTTTTGCTCTACGCTGGGTCACAACTCCAGGCGTGCATCATACTGGTTTCTGAAATAGCAGAAGATGTTTCTAGAATAAGAAAAAAAAAAAAAAAACAAAACCACATATTTCCTTTGTCTTTGTTCTTCTTTTAGTTTCCAAACACAGAAAACATGTGCCATGTCTTATGACCCTGCAGTCATTAAAGATTCTGAGACACATTTCGTAAAAATGAGATTTTAAACATTGTGTCTGGCTTCTTTCCAGACCAGGTAATTACATTTTTCTTCTCTAAATTCCCCTGTACTTTCAGTTGAACATGTTATTATTCTCCATTCCCTGACTTAAACTGTTATGCTGTGCAATTGTCTACTCTTTTAAAAAGGTTTTGTGTTGAATGCCTGGGAACAAAACTGGTTTCTCTCTGCTGAGGTTTAATTCATTAACATCGCTTTGAGGCATGGAGATGATGCAGCTGTTGGTTGATGATAAATGGTCATTGTCTGATCATTAAAAGACTACCAATGAACAATTATTAATTAGGATTCATAGTTTGGAGGGATACTTTAAATTTATAAACTGAGTATTAGAAATCTAAGCACAACACAGCAGTAAAATTTACATAGAAAAATCAACCAAGCCTTGAGGTGCACAAGTCAGTACTGCTTGACTATACCTGACCCGCACCAAGGATTTGGCCCAAGTACCCCAAAATAAGAAAGAATGTTTTATTTTTCATTTGGTGTTTCTTTGTGATCAAAGACATTTTAAAGCCTGGAGTAACCCAGCTGCAGTGATGGAATTACACCAGAAGGATGGACTTCTGTTTGTGTTGTAGGAATTGATTTTTTTAAAAGCATTTCAAGAATCTGTACTTCTGATGCCAGCTCTTACTATCTTTCTTTGGGAAAAGCGTGCTCTTTAGTGTGCTGCTAGGCTTGTTTCAATGGTTTGCCAGGCAGCCTGGAGGCTCCCAGAGCTTCACCCACTGAGCAGGGTCCTATCCTGGGTTACTCCCTCCTACAGCCAAGCTCTTCATTGCACCAAGCTGTGCTGCAGCCCTTTCTGCTGGGCTCCCACACACCAACCCAGGTGATGAACACGTCCCCCCAGCACTAACCAGCTGCCTTTTGAGCATGGTGCCAAGGACCAAGCCATGGTGGTGCCACTGGGCTGCAGCACAGCCCTGCTGCAAGGTACCTCCTCCTGCAGGGCCCCATCCCTGGCCCCTGCCACAAACCCACCCTTCCCTCAGCACCTACAGCAACAAACTGAAGCCTCAGTTTCACAGAAATCAGGATCTTTTCATAAGAGTCAGGGAAGCTGGCGACTCTGTTTATGCATTCTTCTGTTGTGGTGAAATGTCAGTAGAGCTTATTAATTCTTTGTGTACCAAAGGAAATCTCCGTTCCTGTTTCCTTGGCATCTACCGGTGTCCATTCTTAATCAGAGGCCCAGTGTCCTTTGCAAGGGATGTGACTGGAGAGTTTAATTCATTGCTTGATGAGTGACTGAGCACTCCCCAGCAGGCTGCTGCCGTGTCTGATGCCGGTGAAGCCATCGGGGGTCCCTGCATTAG